GGTAACAGGCACGGCGCTGGAAATGGCGCATTCCGCGAGGCAGGCTGGCACCACCAGGCACACACCCATGGCCTTTACAAAACACACCCAGTGCTGCTGCCAAGGAAACTTCTTAATATTCCTGTAAATGCCGTGAATTAACATACGCACATCTCACAACAGTGTCAGATGCTAATACACTTTGCATTTCTGGCTGGTGGAGGTTCCAGAGCTTTTGTATGTAAATGCAAGATACTGTTAGAAGCATTCTAACTATTAATTAGAGTAAATTATGTAAGAGAATGATTCAAGGAAGAGTATTAAAATGAATTACTAGTAACAGTTGCAGTGGCTCTTAAATCACCCATGTCACATACCATGACAGTAAAGAGCAGATACTCAAATACAAGCCCAGATCTTTAGTTTTCATGGCTTGTTCCCTGCAAGGTATTTTACTAATGCAGAATTTAAGAAACTTGAATAAGGGATCAGACTGAAAACTGCACTACTGAAGTCCCCACAACAGAACCGAACAGCAAATGGACTTGGTGCTAACTCTTTTTACCTAGAGATAACCCTGTTAAATCCTAACAAAACGTTTGTGTTAGTGAATTAGGAATCACAGGTGGCACTTGGGAGCATGCTGTGAGCATCATGAGTAGGACTGTAACCACCACTAACAGCCATAACTACTAATAAACTAAAACATAATGGTAAAATAACCCACTTCATTTGCTAAGAGTGAATAATTTAATTCAAAATGTATGCCTTTAGCACAGAATGGCATGTCTGTACCTTTATTCCAAGCAGCGTTATACAGTTCCCTGGGAAGCACATACCAAAATCCTCCAAAGAAAAAAAGGAAACAATTTAATAAACCAATATGCATCCAAAATCTTTAAAGTCATTTATATTTGTTTTTCATGCACAAGATCAAAGAAATAATAAGAATAATAAAAAAACCCAAAACAGAACCAAGCCCTGGGTACAAGTTTGATCTGATTGCTTTTGATACATAGAATCTGTTGCAAGGTACTTGAAATTAAAAACAAATTCTCATACATGTCATGTAACAAAATGAAAAAAGTAAATAAAAAAGTTAAAGTACTAGCATGTACATGGATGTAGTATATTAGGAAACAAGTTTATTTGAACATCCATATTTTTCTGTATTTAAAATAGACATTTTAATCCTTCCCCAAACACCATTTGTTCTCAGAAGGTCAAACCCAATCCCTCCCAAAGTTACATTCTAAGAGTATTACCAGAATACAAACTAATTAACAATGTCCCATTACTTCTGTATCACCAAGACTTACATACGCCACCCTCAGCGGTGGGCAACAGTGAAACTGTCCAGCTGGCACAATTGCTGTGTTTATACTACAAGTAGACAGTGTACATTTAGTAAAGTAAATGTTCAAAACCTGAAATAGTACAGTGAAATATTGTCAGCAATGAATTTCATAAGAATTGCGTATGTTTCGAATACTTAAAAGTTCTGTCATAAGCCATAAAGGCAGAAACTTTTTTAAAAAGAGAACTTTAAAAATAGATTTTATTGTTGCTACATGGCATCTGATACATGCTCTCCATTTCAAAAAAGAGAAGCTCACAGTATAAAGAATCACTTTAATGAGTTAATGACTGATTCAAGGCCTGACCTAAGGCTTTGGCAGTTGTTTTACACAGGAACTCCAGTTTCCCAAAGCACCCTCCTATTCAAAATCTGCTGCTGGTTTATTATGGAAGTCATATGCAAACATGGTTTCTGATTTTTTTACCTGTTTAAGGTCTTTGAACCAAGACACTTAACCAGCTGAAACACCGATGGATGGGAGTCGATTTGCAGCTTCGCAATTCTGACAAACACCTTACGCGGCTTCACGAGAGAAGTGCATCAGTTCTCACGGCGAGATGCACACAGCCAGGCAGAACAGTGCAGACCAGCTCATGCACAGCAGCTGAGCACCCGGCCTGCCCAAGTGTCTTATCATGACAAAACTTGAATTTACAATAGTACAGATTTGCTAGCAAATGAACAAACTGCATTTTCTAAACACCATCTAATGATGAGCAATATCAGCTGCCCCATCCCAGAGCTCTGCCCTGCAGCTGCTGTGAATTTTAGCACCAACGGCTCTCGCTTTGTTAGGCCGGGCACGGTGTTGACGAGCTGGCCCAACAAGTTGGCATCGCAACCAGATGCCAAAAAATCTCCAATTCTTTTACCAAAGTCAGTCATGTCACCAAAGAACAAAGCCTTAGGACCATCTATTTTTCATCTAGGCTGACAACCTGAAGAAATCCTTAAAAGAGAGATTAATTACAATTACAGTAATATTGGTCAGCCCTGCCCAGTCCCCTGTTTGTTGGAAAGAAATTTCTGCTATCTCCACAGTTAGTGCTAGCAAAAATAATTTAAAAACTCAACAAATAACCCCTCCAAAATAATAAAAGGAACAAAATGCCCATTCAGTAATTCTGTGCAGACACAACACTGCTATTACATCTCATTTTCTATTAAAAAAACCCCCAAAACATAAGAAGAGCTACTTTTCCCTA